CCTTCGGGGAGGATCGCCTCCAGGGGGTCCAGCCCGGCTTCGAGGCCCTCGCGAACGAATCCAACCCCCGCCCGCGCGGCCGGCGGCGTCTCGCCGGGGGGAAAGCCCTCGCGGCCTCGGCCTTGTCCAGCAAAGAAAGGCATTTGTGGGTCACCCCCAGCAGGACGTTCCACAGACGGCCCAGCTGCGTTTGTTGGTGAAGCACCACCGACGTCAGGTCCAGGGGATCGCCATCGCCCTCAACGGGGCGTCCCGGATCGGGCGGGGTGGAGAGCGCACGTGCAAGCCCCGAAGTCGCCAAATCGGCCATAAAACCCCTCAACGTTGCGGTTTGGGGGGATAGAAATTGTCGATCCGGGAGAGGCGTGAAGGATCGGGATGACGTGGGCACGCCGTCTCGGCAGAAACTACTATTAACACAATGGTTCACTTTGAAACAAGTCTCACTTTGTTGAGAAGGGAAGAAGAGGAAATTAGTTTGACATTATCCCTCAGCGCGAATCCGCGCACGGCACTGACAACTTTGAGGGTAGTGAAGTTCCATAATCAACTCTATACTATGTACGAGTATGGATGTGTTATAATAGTTGCATCACCATCTTTTTAGAATAATTTAATAACTATATAAAGTACCAGGGAAGAGGGGTGATTCTTCGCGTTTATGGTTCGAAATCTTGGGAGCGCTTGACAAAGTCGCCGTTGGGATCATTGATCCACCCCACAACCGGATACTTGAAGCGGAGCTTTTCTTCCCAGTCGTCCAGAGATTTCATATGCGATGGCGAAAGCCGCGTCCAGTCGGCGTTTGCCTCGCTTTGATCGACTTTGAACTTCCCAAGGGCCCGGGAGCTATCACGGCCTGCAAAAACATGGTAAGGGGCATCCGGTCCATACCACTCCAAGGCAACGTTGTAGATAACACCCTTGATACCCATAAAGGCATAGGGCTTCCGGACTCCGTCGTATTCCGCAAGCTCCTCGATGGTATAGGCGCGTGGGATGAAAAATTCCTTTTCGCTTTTTGAAACCGGGCGCTCCCGATAACGACGAAAGAAACGTATTAACAGGAAAATAACAATACCTAAAACGAAGGCAAAGAACGAATTGAATCGCACCATGATGATGGTCAAAAAGGGTTAAAATAAAACAGCGCCTGAGAGCAAGGGTTCCCTCCTTCAAATATCAGGTAATCGGTGTAATATAAGATTCCCTTGCAAGAAATCGGTTCATGCAAAAACAAAATGGCTTCTCAACTATATATACTCCCCCCCCCAAAAAAAATAATGCTTATAAGATGAAAAAATGAAAAAGATATAAAGCGATAATTAATAAAGCTGAGAACACCGAAGCCATAAAAGGATAAAAATTCGTATGCGCTTAGTATAGACAATGCATTTATTTGACAATAGACTGTAGGAAAATAGTTACCTAATGACATTTCATCGACGCTAAAAACTAAAAACTAAGCATGAATATAATACAACAAGAAAGTTACCCAACTCGATGAAATTTCATCGGTTCCAATGCATTCTAGTTACTTTCACAGCAAGATTGCTAGAACACCCCTAAAAAATATGGAATAAATAAGGAACCCCCCATACTAAGTAATCACAATATGCATTCCATTGGTTCTACGAAAGTTTACCCTGTGGCCTCGCCATTTGGTCTTGGTCCATTCCGTACGATGCCGTCGCGTTGTAGTCCCTTCTCCAGCTTCTCTAATGAATAACATGGAGAGACGCTGATGAAGAAAGCCTCGATACTCTTCGCGACGATGTAAGCATAGCGCAGGTGAAACGGCAGAACCCGAGGCGTCGGCGGATTCCCTAGAAAAAGTTTCCCCAATACCGTCGGTGAACCCGCCCCGAGGTCATCACCGTTCTGTTGAGACCGAATGCTGAACGATTGGAAGATAAACTTCAGAAAAGAAAAGATGAGGTAGAGCATTAGAACGGATAGATAGCCGGTGATGGTCACGTTCCCATTGAGCATAAGGGTGGCGATGCCCACGCGAAGGTAAATCGTAAAGTCATGCGTTAGCCAGCCCCACGCCGCCCGCGCGCCGTAGTAGAAAAGCTTCAGGTCCAACGGGGGATGGGTGCCGTTAGGGGCAGCCGCCGCCCCGCGAACAGGCGGCAAAGGCTCCGCCGAGGCATCGGCAGCCGGCGGCAAAACCGGG